ACAGATGGAAAAGCTGAAATGACTCCAAAACAGCTTGAGCGAGGACATTGTGTTGCACATCAGACAGCTCCTCCTTCCCCATCTATCTCCAGGGATGTTCACTTCATAGACAAAGGATAGTGGACTAGTCTAAACTTATTACTTGTTCAGGGGTCATTTGTTGGCAAAATCAATAAAATTGAGAAACAAGAACTGATGCTTTTCAGCTGCTGTTCTTCTGCATGCGGGTTTTCTGTAGCAGTCCTCAGTGCAGTATCCAGGCAGATCTCAATAAAACTCTTGTGCACAGTAGTTTCTATAGACTTTAAATTGCCTCTCCTTTATTTGCCCTTCTCTGATTATCCCATGGGGCCTGATGAACACGTCGGGTTTCGTTTGGTGTTCTGATCTGAAATATTCTGGTTACACTGGGAAAGGAGTCAACTCTGCAGAATAATTTCAGTGTGACCAGACTGGTATATCACTGCTCCCTGACCAAGAGTACATTATCTTGGTCTCTCAAATATTTCATTCTGGGCTTTCCAATCTGTTCTGTGCCAGACACATAGAGCATAAGTAAAGATTTGGTCAGGGTACAGATGTTTAATTGAATATGTAAAGCATAGAGAAAACATATTTGCATCCTTTCACAACACTAAATGTAACTAAGTAATAACTGCTTCAGGCTGAACCTTTTGATTGCAACGAAAGCTCAAAAAGAAGTGATGAAAGCAACGTTTCATAACACCAAATCAATGTTCCTCTGAATTTTCAAGAACAGATTTGACAATTCATTTCTCTGCTCGGGATACTCTTGCCCACCTTAGAGAAGGATCCCTTTATTTCAGATATTTTTAAAAAGCACTGGAAGTTACGAAGTCTGGCACCAGAAGTTAATTTTCTTTTCCTGATTCTTTACACTAAGAGCTCCTACAGAACTCACCTGGAGCAGTACTACATACTGATCTCTACCAACAATTTAACACCATCTCATCCTGATCTGACTTGCATCGATTAGTTCAGCTATCCTGGACACACTAAGCATTTTCATCAGCAATTCAAATGTGGTTACACTATCTCACTTCAAACAACCTTATTTTCAAATTCCATTCAAGTCCTTTAACAGACTCTCAATTTCATTTCCATGAGACACCCCCCACAAAAGGCAGAAGTCTGCTGCCTGGAATTGCCATGTTATTGAGCAGAACCTCAGCATCTGTCCATGGCACAACTCATTTCGCAGTTATTCTTATAAACTGTCTTCATTATTTCACTCGAGCCTATCCCTCTTGTCTTCTCACTCACTGACCCTTTTCCTCTGCTTTTTCTATTCCTCTGTTCACACTGGTTCTTTGCTTTCCAAAAATACCACCTACTTAGTGCATTCTCTCCCAAAACCAGCACATACATGCAGAAATCAATGCTCTTACATTCACAAATATTAAACTTTGTTGAGTTATGGATGAGTTCCTCTTCAATCAAGCTACCCTAAATTTTGTTTTGTTTGGTAGGGGTTTTTTTTAAAGTTAAACACAAATAAGAATAAAACTCATGGAAAACAGCTGACAATTAGTAAAGGAAACTATAATTTACCATGCCTGTGGCAAAACCAACCTGTAATTTTTGCAGCCTTTTCCTCTTGATTCACTCTGTTTTCTTCATCTTCTTCATTGTCTTCCTCAAAATCATCTAGATTACCAATATCAGCTTGTTTCATACTCATCAAACTAGCCAGGCTTTGCATGTCTTCATCCCTAAATAACAAATTTCATATCAAGCATTAAAATGCGGCCTGTTAATACCACATCTGATACTACCACATTATTAAAAATTCTTTAAATATTTTGATGTTTTCTTCAGAGAGGTCTATGATCTCAGATCTGATCTTGAATATAGTGAAATAACAAAATGAACACACCCACGTATATTAATTTCTGAAGGGAAAGTTTTCTATTAACACATTTCTAATGACTAAAAATAATACTGCCTTGCATCAAGAGTCAATTTAATGAATGCTTCCTAAAATTTTAAACGAGTCCAGATAGGCTGATAAATGCTTCTCTGGTCTGCTTTGGTTAAAGTGAAAATGCTTGCCCAGACCTACTGTCCATATGTTGCATGCAATACCTATCGCTACATTCATTTATAACTCTTGATGCTGTTATAGAAATTAAAATTCCTTTTCTAAATATCTGAAATCATCAACAAGATAAAAAAACATTAGTAGGACAGTGTCTATTTACACATATTGGAAACCAATGCTTTCACAAATAACAGCTTTTTCAGGTCCCTGGTTCAGGGCAGTATGAAAGCACTGCTGGTAACTTACAATCTACCTGACTTACAGTCTTCAGCCTGAAATGTGAAGCTGCATGTGAGCTTAAATGGATCAGCTTTTACATATTATGGCCTCAAAACCCACTAAGAGCCTAGTATAGCTATTCACTGTATAGTTCACAGATGCTGGTTGTTCAAAAAAAGGGGCTATCAGATACTGATTTGTTCCATTCTCATTTTCAGCTGCATTTTAACCATGTTAAATCACAAGCTAAATACTTCAAAGCATCATCCTTATATGATATGTCAAGATGTGCATCACAACAGGTTAATCAGTGAAGGGAAACAGTAATAGTAATTAATAGTAATTAATGCATCTGTGGCTTTCAAAGCATGCAGACAAAAAGCAAATGTATGTTTTAACAAGGCAGCCTGGAAAGCTGCTCATGCAGCATTTTTGAGGTATGGTATTGCAGTGGGCAGTGTCTACAAAATGCATTCAGAATATTGAAAGCTGGAAGTAAACTGTTACTCTTTTGGAGGGAAAAAGAAATTTGAAAAGAGGCAGAAGAACTACTAGAGCAGTAGTTTCCCCATCCACCTGCCATTCTCACATTGCCATATTCTAGGAAAAAGGATGGGTGATAAACAATCCTTTCTCCATGCACATGAAGTTGTCAACATTTGACATCTGGAATCTGACAGAAATTGCAGGAGAGGTTACAGGATCTGCAAAATCAACCTGTAACCTCTGCCCTTCAAAAGCCATTGAAAGAAGGGACAGAACCAAGTGAGCAAGTCAAAGGAGTGGTAATCAGTGCACAAGTGATTTCTCTCTGAAGAACACAAGACTGAAATCAGAGTAAGAAATGACTTTTACCCAGTCAAGGAACTAACTACGGCAGGAATGATAAGTATGCCAAAGGATTCTCTCAAATTCTGCCATTCTATACAGAAAGAGCTCTTTATCCAAAGAATTCTTTGAAAAGTAACACAAAGCAGGTTATCTGGCTTACAAAAACACCCAACCAAAAAACAACAACTTACGTGGCTTTTCCTTCCCTCAGGAAAATACAAGATAACGAGAACTGGAGTGTGGCAGATACCACTTTCTTAGACAAAGGCTTGAATTTTAACCTGACATCTGTCTGTGTAGGCATGGGGCTGGCATATTGCTTCATGTTGATGCTGCTGGTGGCAAGTGCTTTTCTACGTCCAGAAGGAGATTCCTGAAAGCAAAAGAAAAAAACAAAACTAATGTAAAAGGTCTGTTACACTAAAACCTGCACGTGCACAAAACAAAAAATACACTTATTAAACCTGTCATTCTTTTTTTCAATTACACAGGCAGTGGACATTGTTATGGCCCTATTTAGAGACAGAAAACCATTTCTTAAAATAGGTCAGCCACTGATGGTGGTGCATCTTTCTTAGTGCAATTGAAAAAAAAAAAAAAGGTTGTTCATTATGGGTAGTGGTCTTCCATATGCAATCCTATGTCATTAATGACTTGAGGCTGAAGTAGCATCCACAGCACACATCCTTTCAAACTAGTGGAAATATATTTCGTTTTCTTCTTACAGCAAACTGGAGTAGTTTTGTCCAAACTTGAATAGTTCTGGATTATGACTTCCAGCCTATGGAAATCATGGGTTTCAACCATGCATATATTTCTTTATGCAATGGTATGAGCTCATCTAGATTGTGTTCAATGTTTAAATGTAACACCTGAATATTTTTCAAAGCAGTGGTATTCTCATTAGTGTTGTACATGCACTATAAGGAGTGACAGGTTTCTGAAATTAAATTTGACAGATCTTCCAAAAATACTGATAAAAATTTTGCAAGGAAAAAATAAAGAGCAAGAAAAGAGGAAAATAAAAGCCAAAGTTTTATTTGAAAAGCCTGAGTTGTATTTCAATATAAAAGTGTTGCCCATGGTTTAACAATTCAAACAAATTAATCTCAAATGCATCTAAGAATCTACTCTCCTGTTCCATCTAATAACGGCAGCAAAAGAATGACTGTATGCAATAAAAGCTCCAGTAACAAAAAATAAAACAAAAAAGCCCTGCTGTTAACTCTTTTGAAAAACGTTCTCACAATAAGACTACATTTTACTGCAGTTGACAATTTGTGTTGAATAAAGAATACTAATTCAATCAAAACATTCAAGCATCCTTTTTCAAAGTACTTGACATTTCCGCCCAGTAGAATAAGTCAGAATGTAATATGTCATCCCCAAAGAATACCTTGTTTAAAAAACTAGCCTTATCTGACAGATTATGCACAGCAATATTATACAGAACTATTAGTGCATGTAGATACCTTATGAATGAATTTCAAAAATGCATCAAACACTTGAGAAGGATTTAGGCCCTCTCAGAAGAAATACTTAAGAATATGCAAATACTCTCAGCTGAATCAAGTTGAACAGATGCGACTCTCACAAACAATACAAGTGCTCTTTCCCCGGCTGAAGCTGCCAATCAAAGAGCAAGATTAGGGTCCGAGGTTCTGACAATGTGTAAAATGGAAAGTACGATCAGGGAGTTCCAATGATTACACAGGTCTAGGCAACAATAATCTGTTATTGTATCATACCTTTAGAATAACCAACATCACAGCTCGTTATACCCAATGCAAGGTTTATTGCAGCGCCCGTTCAGAGAGCAATGTGAGGGACACGGAGTTTCTTTTGGGCATGTTCTCCAGGTCAAGGTATATAAACAGTTTGTATCTTAACAGCAACACTGTGTCTCACCTAAAAAATCCACTGCACAGGCTTGAAGGGTAATGACCTTTCCCAAATATTTGTTCGCGAAGACTGGACATGATCTTAACAGCAACTTGTTTCATAAAGCTAAATTTTCAATATCCATACTGTTGTGTAAAAATGGTGGTCAAGGTGAATACAAAGTTTGCCTAAACCTCCCCTAGTTTTATTTTTTTCAAATGTATCCTTAAAGAAAGCTGGCATATATGATGTGGTGTGCAAGTACTTATGCAACTGGCATGGTAAAAACTACTTATCCACACTGGTGCCCGTGCTCTTCTGCCAAACAGAACAGGAGCAACCAGAAATTAAGAAGTAACTTGGAGCCCAAGGGGGCAATGGGTACAAGTTGCACCAGGAGGTTTCATCCTTATGTAAGACCAACATCTTTTACAGCAAGAACAATCAATCACTGAAACAGTCATCTCAGGGACATGGCAGAGTCTCCACTGCAGAAGGTTTTGAAGATGTAACTAGACAGGGTGCTAGATAATCTCATGTAGTCTCCCTGTCCCGTAAAAGGTTAGGCCAGATGATCTCTCTGGGTCCCTTCCAAGCTGAGCTGTTCTACAGTTGCATGATTCTAACTTGAATGTACCTGTACCTGCAGCCAGGCCAAGGGAAAACATTCCACTGCTGGCTATAATGATTAGGAAACATTTGTTACACTTTGGACTCGAGTCTCCTTTGAATCCACTGGGACGAGCTTATGCACAAAAACCATTTATACCCTAGCTGGTTTTAAAATCTGTATTACAGTATCACATTTCTTCTTTTTGAAATTATAGTTAGTAACATTAACTCAATTGCATGGAAAGACTCTTCATTTGTTCCTTATTCCAAAATTATATAATTAGGTTTTCCTTAAAAAGTTATTTTTTTTTTCTTTTCATCAATTAAAATACCCCCATAAATATCAAATATATGTACACCTAAGAAGATCTTAGACAACAAATTTTACAAGATCTTGGGTAGTTGATGTTGTTAGTAAGATGTTGATCTTACTAAGATCAACAGATCTTAGACAGAACAAAACATAAACGTGGCTACTTGCTGCCAGCCTTCCAGATGAATGGCTGCTCAGCCACACCATGCCTGTATTCTGAAGTACCCTTCTCACTTTGACTATAAAAATCACTTTTCAGCAGCTGTGAACACCCCAATTCAATAAAGGTCTAGATTTACTTCCTTGTGTAGCTATCAACGCCTTTTCAGTGCTGGCTCACCTGTTACATGCACCCTACCTTACAACAGCAACACACAGACCTCCCACAAGGTCCCGTGGGGGGAGCATTGTAGGAATACAAATACACTTCAGTGACTCCGAATAAACAGGTGTATTTGGGGGCAGAGCTACTTTCACTTCTTACAAACACATCATCATCTTATCTAATAATTCAGATGTCACCATGTCTTTATCAAAGTGATCTTATTAAAGAAGTCAAAGCAAACAGGACAAGACAATCCAAATTCCAGTTCAATGGTGATTCTGAAGTGAAGAAAAAGAACATGGCATTAAGCTTGGAAGCATCCAAAAGCTGGACACAAATATATTTTGGAATAACATCAAATTACATTTTCACTTAATATCTACTTATTGTATTAATGATCATTTTATCCTTTGCAGCTTTGGATTATCTGGATCAGAGAACGCATAAGAGACATGAATCAGGAAGAGGTAAAGTTCTCCCAGTGAAGATGATCTTCAGTAATTCATTCTGAAACCTTCTGGAGTTATCTGGTGTAGAGGAAAAGGGACACAAGAGTGCAGGTAGCAGTGTGCCGGTGCAAAGGGAAGAAGTCAGCCATGTGCAAGATTTTCCTACCACTACATATCCTGACATGCTGAAAAGAATAAGATACACTTGGCAATCGAGTTCAGTCTTCCTAAGAAATGAATCTATTACATATTTTTGTGGGACACTGACAGCGGTTGGCTTTCCAGGATCCAACTGCCTATAAAAATTCAAATTTGTAAGTTAATCATACGAAAAAAACCAACCAAACCCCCAAAATCCAAACAAAAATAGACAGTCCCTGACCTTTCAAGTTTTGTTTTGCTTCACGTGCAAGTTTAAATACGTACTTCTACTCTCCCAGAAACTGAAGTGTATTAGAAGTGTTGCAACGTTTTCTCCTTTTAAGCTCTACAGGTTTGGCCCTACGTGGTTTTAGCTACATAAGTATAGGAGGGAAAACTTCTTTTTGCCCCTGAAAAGAATATTCTCAAGGTGCTAAGGTCCATGACTGATTTCATAATGGATTGTGCTTTCTACTCTGACACACAACCAACTTCTAAAAAATTGTCTTTAAATGTCAGAACACGCTAATAGCCACTTCTTACAAAGATTGTAACATTTTCCTCAAAAAAACATACATGCTTCGTATAATACAATGAGTTACCCCAAAACTACAGAGAAATGTTCTTGTAGAAGAATAAATAATTCTTAAATTAGCAGAGACAATATAATCCAAGAGAAATACCTATTGCAGGAGTAGACAGAAACGGCTCAGCCGTAGGCTGGAATGAGTTATTCCAAAGAGAAGCACACTTTGGTAAGATACTGAATAAATAACAGCCATTTAACAGTAAAAGTCTGATCTGGTATTACTTGTGTCTCGTATGAACATGTGGAGTTTTGTGGATGGTAAAGCAGGAATCTCAAGGCAAATATTTTAATTGCTCAACTTTTCTGCTTTTGACTATATAATCAGAGTTTAAAATGTGTAAGGCTCAGTTATGCCTCCAGGTATTTTACATGCATGTGACTGCCAGAGTTGCCACATCCCGTTTTGTGAAAGGTGCATGAAAAAGTCAATTTTGAAGTCACAAGAGGGAAACAATTCAATGTAATAATACGGAGAGGTGACAAAATAAAGCACAACTATAAAGGTGGAGTTCATTCTCTAAGAAAACAGCAATTTGGAAACTCTTTACTTTTTAAGAAAGGCAATGTTTTATGCAAATAAAATCAACTATGATATCTGAAAGTCACAGAAAGACAGAAGATAATACACAATGCCAGTAAAATACAAACACCTCAATGTTATCTTCCACTCAGACATCCTACTGAGACTGAGAATGGGCAGTGTTGGGTTCATGGGAATACATGGAATACTGGTTAATGATCTTTTTTTTGTCGTTTCTTGTTTGTTACTGTATAGTTCTGGCAAGAGAAACAGCATACCAGAAGAAAAACAAAAAGTGCCATTATTTTAGAAATCATCAATAAATGATTAAAAAAATAACTACTTAGCAGAAACTATGGCAGCCTATCTCCTTGCATAATTAGAATAATGGCTGTGCTGGGGCAACGAAAGACTCTGAGATACCTGCATATTATTTACAAAGTACACTATTCACAAAAGTTGTCATTGTAATTTACTTAAGAGGAATAAAACCCACACATAAACACGTAGCAATACTTCTCCATAATACTCTCCTATGTTGGGAAATTTCTGCTTTTGTATCCTAGGCTTTTCTGTCACAAGCAGCTTCACTCCCTTGACAGACTCCTCCTCCTACTCCCGTAGTCCCTGAAATCTCTCAAATATACACCATATTTTGGGTGAAATAACCCTGTCTGGGAACTACACCAAGCTGTATCAGTTGTTCCCAGCTGGCAAAACAGCAGGATGAGGCATGTGGCTTGGTCTGCACTATACCCACTGGGTGGTTGATACTTGTGCATACTGATACTTTAGGAAACCTAGCAAATTATTAATATCTGGAATAATAATAAGAGCTCAAAGCTGGCAAAACAAAAATTAATATAAAAAATAGAAGGACTTCCCAATACCCTGGAGTACTTTGATTTCTGAATTCAGACAAAGAAATATGTAGAGCAAGCAATACTAAGTAAGTCAATAGTAGTTGCATTCCTTTTTTTGTACAGAAGAATATTTTTGTAATAATGAATCCAGGTAGCTCCCAATTTCTAAGCATGCTGTTTGTGTCTGTACAGACTTTAAAAACATTGTCTTCTCAGATACCAACAGAAGTGCAATTCACTGGCACCATTAGGGAGACAAAATTAAGTCAATCAGAAACTACACAGCTGAGAGTAGTTCAGGGCCAGGCTCAGATGAGCTCCCACTGCAGAGGAGCACCTGGCACTCAGGTCTGCTAAAGCCTGGAGACCTACAGACATACACAGAGACAGATTGCAAACAGGGTTTCAAATAGCTATGGATGGTTTTTCATGGAACAATCCCCAACACTACCCCTCTCCAGCATTTTAAGTTACTTCCACAAACCCTCAAATGAGCATCATGTTACAAATTCTGGGTCTAGAGAAGGAAAAATTAACATTGGCCAAACTGCAGTCAGTTCAAATGAAGCCAATGAAGCTGCATTTACTGTCACAGCTACAGGACCAGACCCACTTATCACACAATTTTTTCAATAAGGCAACCACACATTATTCTCTGCCACAACACTCCTGACTCTGAGCAGTGTGAGACATCCCAAAAATGACTATACAGTAAGTGTCACCGTTCCATACCTATCTGCCCAGCATAAAGGAACCATATACCCTGATCTCCTTCTAAAATGAGAACAATGTGAGGTAATGCCATGTACCACGAGCCTTTTCTGGGAATCATCCCCATCTCTCCCTACTAAAGTAGTTCTTTTACAGCAAATAGGACTAAAATACTCTGACTAAGAACTAGGACCAGAGAGCCTGTACCACAGCTATAAAACAAACAGCCTGCTTTTACTCAGAAGACGATGATCACAGATGACAAACACATCACACTATCAAACAGTGCCCAACTCTGTTTCGAATGAAGCAAGTCAAATGAAAGGTCTGAATCCAGACTCTTAATTTAAAGGAGAGATGAATAATGCTGTAATGCAAATTTCATGCAGCCTTCTTTCCTTAAAACGTATTTTTAATGATCCTGTGTCCTGTACTTACCAACTGACTGGCAAGTCTTCTGCGAGGTTAGGTGCAAATAAGTAAGAAACAGCTTTGTATTTTCTGTTAAACTGCCTTCGAGCTTCTAGAGTTACACAGAATCAAAACAATGGCTTGGTTTTGTTCATGGGGTATATTTCTCTGGGTTATTTGGGCTGGGGGAGAGTCCCTCCACAGAAATCAGCAGGATGCATTTTACCTCTGCACACCTGAACTCAGCTTGCCTCTACGGACCTGCAACCCTGCTGAGCTGCAGCCTGTAACCCCCAAGGCTCCAGTGCCCTCCCTTCCATACACATATACCAAGTAAAAACAGGAAAATATTTCCATCCAGCAGAAACTAGATCAAAAAGTACTGCAGTTCTTAATTATTTAGATACTAAATGGTCCCTCTTTAACAGAAATATATTAAGTAATTTGTAAGCACTGTACAAACATTATCCAAAAAGACGTAACTAGGGAAGACAAGGAGTTTTGTAATTGGATATTGTTATTTTATCAAAAAGAACAATGGGGTTTGACCGTCTTTCTTGTAGAAAAGGAAAATGTACATTGTAATATTTTTAGGGGCTGCCTTTTCACCTTTTATAAAAGCAAATGATAAAAAGCCCACAAAGACATGCAGATTTTAAGGAGGAGCACTCTGCTGCAAACTTGGGCAGAAAATAATTGACAAAGCAGTTTTTCTAGCTGTAAAAACCCATTGAGAGGAAGAATGGATTTCACTCTCCTTTTGCTTCAGAATTAAGTGGAGACCATTTTGGAGGAAAGCTGTCCTCTGACACAAGCCCCACCACCCCTACACGCTGCTGGAGGGGGGCCCGGAAGGTTCTCCCTCTCCCGGCGCGGGATCCAGCCCGGGGCTGAGCTGCACGTGCCATCTTGCTTAGATGAAAAGATCACTGCTTCACTGGCAGAGCAAAATGGATCACTACAGAATTTAATTTGGGAGAGTATACAGCAATTAAATGCTAAAATAGACAAGCTACAGGGAGCTCTCTCAACTGGAGAGAGTAAATTAGAAACTATGTCAGTTAAAATAATTTAGACAGGCAGATGGGAGATTTGGAGGCCGAATGAAGGCAGCACGATCTCGGCTGAAAACTTGTCTAAAAGCAAATAATGGTTCAAGGTATCCAGAACATTATTAGGGACTATGATGCATTTGAATGGAGAATTTAATGTTTAAAAAATTCTGCACATACCAGAAAGGTCAAAGCCCTAGACATGAGGGTTGGAAAAGAAACAAAACACTTTTAAAAGTTGAAACAGCTACACTTATTTATAGAAATATATATAAATATAAATACACCCTCCATCCTTGTCAGAACCAAAGCCCTTGTTTCAAACTATTTAGCATACTGGTCATATCTCAGCTTTAGTCTAGAATATTACTTCAAAAATGCCAATATGATGGTTTTAATAGCACATCTATATTGATGAATCATAATACTGGAAGCACCACACATTGTTCCTTACTTAACACAGGCAGGCAGAGATGATAATTTCGGTAAGCAAAGAGAAAACACAACATGCTACTACAGCTACTGTCTTCTTATAGCCCCATGAGATTTCACTAGCACCCCAAGAGACTGAGGTATGTAGTGAAAGGTTCTTTCTGACCAAAATCATACCTGTGGGTGTGCTCAACCAACCTACTGTGGGTAACAACAAACCATTCATCTTCACAGGTTAATCCTTTGCATTCACGGACTCTGGAAATCTCCAAGGATTAACATCAGATAGGAAGTTTAGAAAGTGAAACGATACCTCATACACTGAGGTAATTCATCTACACTATGCAAAATAACACTAAGAAAATTTGGAGGTCCTGTTTCTCTAGCAAAAAGCTTCTTAGACAACTACTTAGACAGATGGCAAACTATGAGCATGGTTAAAATTTTAGTTGAGTAATTTATTAATAGACCATGTATATGAGACAGGTATCCCCTTCTAAAGTAGGCTTGCTGCTTATGAAGGACAACAGAGAAAAATTTACAGGTGAGCTGGATAATTTTAATAAATAGCAGATAACTACTGAACCCTGAAATACTGAACCTTGCAGAGGACGTGGTAACTGCTTTATGTGTCCATTTATATAACCTTAATTGCTTTCTCCTTTAGACTGTTTAGTAATGTAGGAACAACTCCTGAACATTCTCCCACAGAAGGATAGAGGAGATTGATAACTGATTTGAGAAACATTTGTTTTACTATTTGTAGCTTTTTTGCTCTTTCAGATCGCTTTCTCTAGAGATGCTGTGCAAGTTTCTCTTCTTCTATAATGACAGGTTTATATTTACTGTTAGATGCCTTTGATCACCTGCTAAACTCAGTCGGTCCTTATGTTTTATGCAAACACTATTGTAGCTTTGTGAAGTATGTGAATTTTTGCCTGTGTTTGGAGACCTACGGCTTGTGCTGTAGCACTCAGGAACCATGGAATGCCTGACTATCCTGCTTCCCTTAGCAGCAAAAAAAAAAAAGCAAAGCACATCTTTTCCTGCAAAGTCTAGATCCCAACGTGCTGAGCTCATGAACACCCTAATAGTTCTGCTTCCCTTTCACAGCCATTCACACTGTCCTGTTGGGATCACTACCTGGTAGGGACTGTCTGTTCCTTTCCTGTCCCCAAACGCTTCAGCAGTCAGTTGTGTGACCATCTCCCCAGGCCTGCTAAGGTACAGGGTACAGCTGTGTGCAAGTCTGTGTGTGCTACTACATAGTAACCATTAGTAAGCAAAAGCTTTTGAGATTAAATAGTTTTTAGGTAACAAAGGCTATATAAGAGTAACTCCTACTGTAACTCCCATACAGAATTTTTATTTTGCCAGGGATCTGGGCCACAAGCTCATGGAAGCTCAGCTGAAGCTGGCAGAGAAACTTGTTATTACCAACTGGCTGTTTAAATCCTCAAACCTTTCCTCTCAAAGGAGTAGATTTAAAGAAGTCTGGGCTTGAGCTACTGCTGACACATGGCAGGTGAGGCTGGCTGTTGGGAAAAGCACTGCATGCAGGGCTGGCAGTTTGGCAGAAAATAACAGTCCTTCATTTCCTGTGAGCTGTGTGTGCTGAGCTGGATCCCTCACAGCGTGCTGCCTGCCTCCGAGAGCAGCTCCCATGCTCTGCTTCAGCTGGGGTACTTCCACACAGCGTTCCCCCTGGGCTGGGCTCATTTTTCTCCCTGATTTTGAAGGGTTTGTTGTATAACTGTATGGTATTTCTGTAGTTAGCTTCAAAACAAACTAGAAATGCAGATAATTTACCTAATGTTGGAGAAGAAGAAATAGCAGATGTTAAAGGTAGTTCCTAAATTTTCAACTGAAACAGGAGTAAGAAACACTTTATATATGTGACCTCCTCTTTCCAGGGGGAGGACAGGGGAGCTGACTAGATAACCATGACTTTATTTACTGCTCAGCAGCTCGTAACTCCACATTTTTTCATGTATTGCCTAAAGGGACTCACTCTGGTTTTTGTTTTAAAATACTAAGCAATACTTGTAATAATTCTATATTTAAGCTCACCTACTTCAGGTCTACTTTGCCTGACAGAAAGCCTCCATTTTTATGATCCACTCTACTGCTCACCTGCTGTATGCAGAGGTATCCCATGAATGGTGCTACTGGACCTTCAAATAGCTACACAAAGATGTCCATTTAGTGTCCCCTAACAGAAGACAGCCTTTAGAGAAAAATCAAATGTGGGGTTTTTTGTTAAAGAGGGTCAACTAGTTACTTATTTATTGTTGGTTTCAGATGTGAAAAGCCCTTCTGCTGTTTCAAACTTCTTTTCTCTTTCCATTCTAGGCTCTAAATTTTCTTACTCTGTCTTGGTGTCTCTTCAAGACTAATATTCAGACTCTTCGACATTAAAAAGGTGGTTTTGAAATAATACCTCAAGCCCAGCAGTGAATATTTAATCTGAGTTCAATATAATACTGAGAATAGCTGTTGAAAGATCCATAGTTCTGTAGATCAGGCCATGCCTACTTACAAGCCTTGTCCTCAGGAAACAAACACCATGCAGGAAGACACACATGATACAGACCCCAGAATTAACTCTTGATTATTTAAACAAACTTGCAAATGTAAACACATTATTCACCTTCTTTGTAATCTCCAACAAGGAAGCAAGTTTGAGGTAAAACTCATTGAAGAAGAAACAAAGTGAAAAGATTAGCTGATCCGACAACCTTACATACTTTCATTCTTCTTTCCACAGAAAGATTAATTATTTAGCATAGATAAAACCTGTTAAAATGGGATTTGTAAAATACCAGTGTGTCATCAACCAGTTGTTATTATCTGAGCATAACTTCCTAGAGTGAAGGCACAACCTTAAACGACAAAATTTGCAAGGCTACGACAGAGAAAACCTTGTAACAGTGGGAAGGGAACATATTATGACTCTTACGTTATATTGTTTCTGTACTGAAAGTTGGACCTTAACTGCAAAAGCCCCGAACAAATGGCTGAATGGTCTATAATGCCTGATGGCCACATGCTAAACAGTGATGCTCACACTCCAAACATTCTCCTCAGCAGAACGACAGTCTCCAGGTCAAATTATTGATCACACTGGAAATATCTTATGTTTAAGCTAAAAGGCCACTTCAAAAAAGACAGCATGATGTTATTCAAAGTGAACATCTCAGTAATATTACTGGAGCATTATTAAATTCATGACCTGACCGTGCTTTTTATATTCTCTTGCTTGCAGCTTCACTTTAGGCATGAGCCAAAACCACCAAAACACCTAACCACAAGAGGATACAATGCAGTTGGAGAAGTCCCTCAAACTACAGAGAAATTACTGGACCTGCTGGTGCTGTTCCCTCTCCCTGTATTTCCCGCTGCCACCAAAGGGACACACTGAAAGGCCACCACTACTCTCAGCCTTGTGGCTGTGACACCGATCACAACATTCACTCTGGGAGCTGGCTTTCCAAGAAAGTGTCTTCACACCAACAGGCAGTTCTCTTGCCCATGCAACTTCATTACTATTTCTTCTGTCCAAAACTGCAGCTCACTATCAGGGGCAAAACCCCAGTTTTGAGACAACTTTAATATGCAAGTCTCCTCCTAGCTGTTATCTCAGAGTAGTGTGGTTGGCAGGTGAGGATTCCTGTGTGCAGCACACTCCTCTACAGAGCAAAGGAAGGAGGAAAAATATGGGATCTGTGGATGTCACCAGTGTCATACCACTGACAGGTGGTTTGAGTCTGACGTATGTGGGAAGGAGCAGGGGGCAAAGGGTGGGTACAGAACCAGGGCAAAGGGAGGCAGCTGAAAATTCAGATCTGTGTGCAGCTAGAACAGGGGCATGTTCACACATGTCAGACATCTCAGCTGTCACACCCTGTGCACACACAACAGCGAGAATGGTGTATGGTGCAGGTGCAGTTATTTATTTTTATGTAGATATATATATATATATATATAAACAACATGATATACATTTTAACAGCAAGGATAAACATAAAGCATTCCAAAAATGTGTTTCTGCAATAAACATAAAACCTCAAGTTTTTAAAAGCCCATCCATCCCTCCAAATTTGTTTAAATCAGGCAAATAGCTAAATGGATTTCTTCTAACTTTGTAGTTAAAGTAAAATTCACCTCAAGGCTGACAAGCATAAAAAATTTCAGTCAAATGGATGATTTTTTTTTTTTTGTTAAAGCTGCAATAGCCTGAAAACAGGGGCTTGTAATGAAGCTGCCCCATCAACCATAACCACACTGTCACTAGAGCAACACAATCATATTGCCTGTGCAAAGAAGCAATGCATTTAACATTTTCTTCACTGTGTATTATCTATTAGCTGAGTTTGTCAGAGAGATATGTGGCAGTTCCCTGCAATACTTATGAATATATGCCAAGGCATACAAGAATCAATCTATGTCTGCTTCAGCACAGGTTATATTTTAACAAACAACTTAAAAATCTGCCCTTCTTTTATCTGAGGTTTCTGTTAAATGCTGTAACTATCAAGAAATAGAAATAGTTCCAGGCAAACATCTCAGATCTTTCCATTGCTATTCTCTATTACTAATGCACATTACATGTTCAATTCTCCCTTGCTGCTTCTATGAAAAAAGGTCTTGTCAAAAACAGATTTCATTTTTTCTGTGTATGCACAAATTAGTTATGGATGATTAACAAAGCATTCATTCTTTTATTTGCTTTGGCTGAGACTTGATCTGTGTTACATTCATGTGAGGGAAGCACTCAATTTTACGTTGATTAAATATGAAACACTGCACTGTTGATAAAAAGAGTTGTATTCAGGGCTGCATATTATACTGACAAAAGATGCATGTTCTTGGGCTAATAGTTTCTTAAACAAGTTTTTCCAGATTTTTAATTGCAACAAACTTGATACAGCTCTTTTTTTCCTTCTCAGCAAGTACTGGGCAGTGAGAGCTTTATGTCCCAAAGCAATCCGGTCCAGTCTTAACAAACAACAATAATTATTGCATATTGAATGTATAAAAAGGAATTTTCAAATTCTGCTCCACAATTTGATTTCTTTAAGCATTACTTGCATTACAAAACTTTTACCAAAAAAAGACTGCAAAACTAAGTAGGAGAGACAACAAATCATTACTATAGAATTTGTGTTCTATTACATAAAAAATACAACGAAAATAAAGAGGTACTTGAGAAGTCTTATGGAAACCTGTAGCCAGTTGTCACTGAGAACTTAGCCCTGATCTGCTGTTACTGCCTCCAGCTATCACAGGATAACATGTGCGTAAATGCTCATCTCTAAGGCCCATAGATCCCCCCATCCATTAAACACAGTGATATAGAGACATCAAAGATGCACTTTGGTTAAGGAAGGTATTTAGGTGCAAGCCTAACTTCAAGCACACGATCTACTTGTAATTAAATCAAGTTAAAGAAAGCCATATGATTAAGCACCTTGTTAAATTTGGGAACAAATTATTAGCCCTTATAAACCAGGAGATTCTATCTCGGGGTTTACAGCACATGAAGACAAACCCATGCACACAGACACATGCACGTGCGCAGAGCATTATGCAAACTTTTGCAAGAGGGGATTTATTTTTAGTGTAACTATACAGAGTAAGTGCAGCTCTTACTCAGGTTAGGAGGAGGTCTGGCCACACTTTTGTTCTTTTCTACACTTCCAATAATAACCCGTGGTTTTATAAAACATTTCCTCATGTCCCTATGTCATAAAAATAAGTCTATTCAGTATCTTTCCTAAACATCACCAAGATGAAAGCGTGAAATTAAAATTTTCATTTCACTGCCAAGGAGAGAGAGTCCTACCATAATAGGAGGATAGAAACAAGCCAAAGCAAGGGAAACTTGATGCAAGTTGGGTTTAGAAAGGATGGATAGTTCTCCACATACAAGAAGGTGATTTCTTGGGGTTTCCCTGAAATTCCACAGCGCTGGATAAGAGGACAGCAGGAGAGGAGAGATGGAAATCTTGTTTTGATCAAAAAGGGCCAGCAAAGGCAACCGGGCCCATCTAGAGCAGCTGTGCTGCAGCACAAGGTGTGAGCTCCTGCAGGGCATGAAAACGATGAGGGGTCCCAGACACATCCCCTCTCCCCACCACCCTCATCCAGAGCAGAGGCACAACATAACAACTCCTACCTGACTGCAGCCCATCAGACACAGAGTCTGTCTCCTAACTCATCTCCTACCTGCATCCCACTTTTCCAGCCATCTGCTCCTGCCTTGCAGCAGCCCTGGTACTTTACTGGCTCTTCTTTCACATCCTGGTTCCTCTCACTAAACCAGAAGAAAACTCAACCAGAAAAAAGAACCCACAGTGTTTCACTTGGGTCAGACAACTGAGCTCTCGAAAGGCCAGAGGAGCACCAGCATGGAAGGGGCTGCTGCACATAAAGTGGGGAGCAGAGAGGACAGAGAAAGAAACCACCTCCTTTGACAGCAGTGCACTGAGAGCAGTTCAGTCATCTCATGTGGTTGCATTTTCATGGACTATTTCACGGAGATTTACTCTTCCTGTTCCAGTCTGTGTGAATTCAGCTCCCCAGCCTTGCAGACAGGGGATGGCTGGAGTGAAACAAAGATTTATTTTTTTTAAGGATCTCCAGAAAGATTTTTTTTTTCTTTGCTTCAGGTCACATAAGAACATACAAAAGGACAAAGCAATAAATGCTCACATGCACTTTCTTGTCTTTATTTCCACTCTCTGGAATGAGGCCAGAGACATCTAAGTAGTGCACTCTGTTCTCTTCCACTCCCTCCCAGAAATTATGGACTCTCCTTTGCAGCCAATTTCCTCCTCCTTCTCTGTCTGGGCCCAAGCTTCAGCTACTACAAAACAATGTTCCCCTGTTCCTCGCCAGGGCCCATTCTCTGCGCATCTACCCCAGGCTGTCTGAGGCCTCCCAGATCTTTAAGGCTTTACGTTTACAAATCCAGGAAGAAAACCTGTTCTTTCTGCTCTGATTCTGGGAAAATTCCACTCTCTCTCCACTTTGCATATGAACTCAGCTGCACTCATTTTCTTCAGGTTCAGCCACTCCACGGTCCTAAGGGGCTGCCATTCCTGAGGGTATTAATACATTAGCAGCTCTGCTCAAATGTACCTGACACAACCGTAGGGCTGGCTTGGAAAATACAGACATGTTTCACGGCACAGACTCTCCCTAGTCTAAGTCTGAAACTTGAAATTGGGCATTGGCAAGTCAAACAGCAAGTATGTCCCATATTATACCACTGCCCACTTTTTAAAAATATCTAAATATATTATTATTAGACTTGCATAATTTATAACTCATAAAAATAAGTGATATAAAGGAAATATCAGTTTCAAATAATCAGTTTTTACACATTCTTTTAAAAGATGTTATTCTCCACATTCCAGTTACATCAGGAACATTCCTGTAGTGTTACAGGCACACGTACTTTCAGCATTTCTAAAGCTCCCCTAGAAACAAGTTCACATGTGTACAAAAGGCAAAGATGATGTTAATGGTTTATTTATTAATGTATCATGTTGTCATCTAAAACAAACACAAGAATAAATTAATAAATACAGAGTACCTTGAATGGAAATATTTTCCTCTCTACTTCTTGTCTGTGAAGTTAACCTAACTTACGGATTTGAAAAAAATCTCAATGTTAATTAACTTAATATTTTATCCATTCATACTTAAAAATATTCCATAATAAAAGCAAATTAAAAAAAGAAACCAAAACCAAAAAACTCAAAACTCAAAGCAGGCTTAATCTCGTAATTATTGCTACATAAAAGCACTTACGAGACATCTGCATTAATCAATTATTAGAAAGTAGTGCTTCAGTCCCAGGCCGTTAGCAATAGCACTCATATAATATTACAGGGAGCCTGATGCTTTGGCAAAACTAGAGCAGGAAAAAATGAAACTAAAAGGCATATTGTACATGTGACCTACAGGACTGGGATTATTACCTCTAAGCTTATTAAGAGTAAAAGCTGTCAGTCGGACCACCCCACAACCAAGGAGGAAAACTGAGATTACTCAGCAGCAAAAGGCATAAAAAGGAGACGTGTATCCTCGGAATGGACAGAGGCAGAGAGTGAACCACAGCCCTGCTTCAGCTATCTGAGCAGTAATTGGCTCACAGGAGTGACTGCCACGTTAAGGCATTATCATTATCTAGCTCACATAACTGGAAATTCACGCTCTGTTCTTTAAATTGGCTTAACCAGCAGCATCTGCAGCACTTTAATTAATTACAGCAATTGGCGTACCTTAAAAGTAGATGCACAGATCTGAAATGATAATGCCCTGTGAGTAATAATTGTAAACTAGCATTAAACCAAACCTATCCTAAATAAAAACCAGGATATACTGTTGGGCTTCAACTGCACAGAAAACACACTTCAACCTAGTAATTATTATTGTCTGCCTAGGTTCACCAACAGATACTACAATTCTACGTGACACTTTACATCCAATTAGCTCAGGAATGCAGAAGCTCACAACATGTACAACAGAAATCTGTTTGATGCTATCCGGTCAAAATTTGCTCAGGCACTTAAACTTGGATTCCTTCAAAAGATAAACTTGAAGTTAAATTCCTAGAAGAGACTGATTGCCACTATTTATTTTTAGTACACTCCTTATAAAGAAATATAGAAGTCAGATATCACAGTAAGTTCAGAAGGAACTTCTAGTGAGAGCCATTAGCTGTGCTTCAGTAAAAAAATCCACAGGCACTGTACATAAATGTGGATTCCCCCCCCCCCCCAGTATCTGCAGCTCTAAAATACAGAAGAATTAC